CCACTACCCCACACTGTCATTCAAACATTATCACTCAAAGGGACATCTCCCCCTCCCCCCTTCTCAGGGCCATATAACCCCCTCTTCCACCCCCCTTCCTGAATCGACCCGAGCGTGCAGGACACTACTTTCGGCTCACACGCACATCACTAATCCTGCACGCGCACGCACGGATCGGTGCTCACTTTACGAGCCTTTTGTCCATCACTTAGTGCTCTGGGGAGTACAGTAGGGAGGCGTAAGTGGTGGGTGTGTGAGTGAGTGAGTGAGAGAGAGAGAGATAGAGAGAGAGAGAGAGAGAGAGAGAGAGAGAGAGAGCGAGAGAGAGAGAGAGAGAGAGAGAGAGAGAGAGAGAGAGAGAGAGAGAGAGAGAAAGAGAAGAGAGAGAGGGAGGGAGAGAGAGGGAGAGATTTAGTGTCAGTCTAGCAACATATCTCAATGTCCTGCACATTTGCCATGCATGTCCATTAAGTCGAAGGCCACTGATGACAACAAATCAACCAGCCAACTAGCCAACAAACAAACAAAAACAAACAAACAAACAGACGTACACACATACAGTGTGTGTTGTGTGCGTCCACAGGTGTGTCTGTCAAGTCCAATGTGAGCGGGGATGAGCTGATCCACCTGGCCGATGTGGTCATGAGTATTGTCACTGGACCTTACCAGGTGAGCATTTCACGCAGGATTCTCCTCCTGTATCACCTCGTCTCACCTCACGTTATCTCACTCATCTTTTCCTATCTCATCTCATCTGACATCACCATATTTCATGTTACTATGTCTCTTCTCATCTTATATCACCTGGCGTAGTCTCATGTTATCTCATTTACCTTATCTCATCTCATCTCATCTCATCTCATGTCTCTTCCCATCTTTTTGTTGAAAAAAATCTCCAAAAAACTAACTTGTTTTCAGCTTGTTTGCTGGTTCTTTATTGTCTGTTTATTTGATGTCCAAATTTTTGGAGGAGGTAAAATTCGTACTAAAATCCCCCCCCCTCCCCCCTATCCCCAGCGTGAGAGAGTGGAGGTGGACATGGTGATCGATGCCACCATGCTGCTGTGGAACAAGTGTAAGCTGGTGTTCCAGAAGTACCAGACGGGCTCTGTGGACAACCCCAGGTTCTTACAGCGCATGGAGAACCCCAACAAGGTGACTTTTGGATTTATTCAGGGCACGCTTGTCTCTTTCTCTCTCTCTCTCTGTCTCTCTGTCTCTCTCTGTCTCTCTCTCTCTTTTTCTTTCTCTCTCTCTCTCTCTCTCACACACTTGTTCTTGTTCTTGTTTCAGGAAGCAACATCCCTGCACTCCGGACATGTCCATTGATGCTCCGTTGCTCTCTCCT